TATGCTTGAGATGAGCTGGGTCAGCAGTACGCGGATTCCTTTCTAGATCTCAGGCTCTCTCAGAACTTAACAGAAACGTTCCTTATAAGTAGGTGCTGAATTAGAATAAAAGTTGCCTTAAACTAGAAGTGGAATTATTACCAAGTTGGTGTTCTTGTCAGAAAGAACTCGTTCAAGACGCCTCTGGAATGGCCAGTGCCTCGTGTGTCAGAAAGCGGCCTCTGTGTGTGTGGAGAGAAGCCGTCACGAAGCCCGAGGGCCGTGCAGGCACCCCTGACCCCCCGGCGGGCCTGTGGAGCTGCCCGCCGCCTTCCCAGGAGCGCCGAGGTGCAGAACCAGCCGCGGGGGTCTTTCTGGGTATGGTTGCTGTGTCATATCTGACGATCTTTCTGGATCCTTCCCAGAAGGCTCCAGTGAGCTTTTAAAGATGAATTTCTTTTCTGGTGTTTGAGTCCCTGGGTTTCCCAGGAGAAACCCCTCTGGGTCAGAGTCCGTCTGGGCGCCCCTTTCGGCGTGAATGGTGGCCCCCAGTGGGAACGGCTCACTTCTGCGCCGGAGGCCTGAGAAAAGTTCTGTGCTCACGCGCAGGCCGTTTCCCAGGGGCCGTTTCAACCAGGTCCGTGCCTGAGATGAATACAAACCAGAACAATGTATGAGGAAGAAATAACCGTCCATTAAGACAGGGTTAGGTATTCCTGGGTTAGCGGGCCCGAAAAATAATGATTCCTGGGTGGAGCTGTTGCCCTGAGGGTCATTTTAAAACATGTTACTGGTTCCAGGTATCCCTAAGCAGAGCTCTCGTGGGCCTCGTGTGTGCCCGCTGGCGAGGCGGGCAGGAAGCACACTGCCCGCTGCCTAGGTGGTCACAGGCACCACTTCGGGGCACCTGCCGCCTCTGGCCTGTCCCCCCTGCATCCTGCCAGGGACTTCTTAAGTAGCCGGGCCTTTTTTCAGGGACCATTTTGATCTGGGAAATTTAGTTTCTGGTAGACTTATTCGGAGAAAAGATGTTTCTGCGTCTGCCTGTCTCACCTCCTCCTCGGGCCACATGCTGGGTCACAAGGTGTGGGCTGAGGTGCTGAGTAAAGTCGCTGCCCGACAGGACTGCATGGTGAGGATGGGTCCCGGCAGCATCGCCTCCAGAGCAGACAGGACGGAGTGCTGACTCCTGTGGAAATCTTAACCCAGCGGGGAATGACGTGGCTGCCTGTGCATGCGGAACCCGCCCCGCCCCCCACCTCCCCGTGGGTGCCTGTGACGTTGGGGAAACGTGGCCGTGATGTGACAAACTGTTCCACTTCCCGAGGAGCCTCAAGAAGCAGAGATGGAAGAGCTGCCGTGTTTAGAGGGTGTGGCGGGAGGCTCCGTCGTCCAGTGGCTCGGCTGTGTCAGAAAGCAAATCTAACGTGGAAGCAAGTTATAAACAGAAACCTTAAAACCAGAAACCACACCGGTATTTCTGCCATGAAAAGACTCATCTCTTTGAGAAGGAAAATAAGACTGTTGAGTCTGGTTTTCATGTGAATGGCGGTTCCCTCCTGCTTGAGGTCCCAGAGGGACAGCGCCCAAGCCAGGACGGCACAGAGCACACAGCGGCTCTAACACCATTTGGCCAGCGGCAGCTCTCTGCCTGGCTCAGGCCTCCTAGCGGGCTGTCACAGCGGGCGGAAACTCATTTCTGGTGGGAGCCGTGCTGTCGCGCCCAGTGAGCCGTGCTGTCGCGCCCAGTCGGCCTGTGGGGTGGGTGGGGGTGGGGGGCTTTGCTACGTGGTCCGCCCCCTTTCCCTTTTGCTTGCAAAGTCCCTTGGCGATGGTTGTGCGGTGTGAGCGTGCCTAGTGCCAGCGGCTGGACAGAGTGGTGAATTCTAGGCGGTGTGTGTCTTAGCGCATGGAAAATGACCCCAGTCCTCTAAAAACTCATTTTTATTAGGTAGTTTAAATTTGACGCATTACACACTAGAATTTGATTTGTGTTTTGGGTTTCACATTCCGAAGAATGGGATGTTAATGAAATTGCACCTTTACTTTCGACATTCCACTTGAGATGTTAAAAGCAAGGCTTGATGGGCAGCAATAATTCCGACGCTTTACTGTCGTAAGGAACGTGTTAGGTAAGAGTGAGGCCGGCTTTCTGTGTATTTAACTTAAAAGGTGTGCACAGGGCTTTTGGAAAGTGCCCCACAGAGCCACTGTGGGTGTCGTGGCGCTTGGTGTGGACTCGAGGGTGGGGGGCGACGCAGCGAACAGTGGCCTGAAGTCAGGAGCCGCCCCCTCCCCGTCCCCCGTGCTGGCTGACTGGCAGTCCCGTCACTCCTTAAGGTCTCTGCTTCCTCCTCGCTAAAGGTCTTTGAACACGGAAATAAAACCTCCCTCCTGGGGATCTCGTATGAAGCAGATGAAACGTAAATGTGAGACAGGCTTGCTAAGTAACTGCAAACAGATTATCAGTAAGGAGCAAATGCTGAGATACACAAACACGCTTCAAGTCAGGAAGCAAATTGGTAGCTTTCAGTGGTCGGAAATGACGCCTTCCTGGCCCTGCGCACGCACGCCCCTCGGCGCCCATCGCCTCCCAGCACGCTCGCTTGGCACCTGGTTTGGGGCTTCGCTGTGGTCTGCGTGGGAAGCAGGGAGTCGCTGAAGTGACAGATAATTTAGAGGCTCTGGAGGCGGACTCGTCAGCATGCTGCACCGTGCTTCTCCGGTCCGCTTGCCGAGTGGCATGAGAAATGACACTGCATTGGGAGGGGGGCCGTCCCGTCCCTAAGGCTTGAGCTGCAGCCGTTTTAGGTCAGGTTACACGGGGGCCCAGCGGCGCGTAGCTTTTCCTTAACAGCAGAGGGTGGCCTTCTGAGGGTGGGTGAGTGCGTGAGGGGTCCTGATCATGGTATGGTCCCGTGTGGTCACTAGTTTCTGGGTTTACTTGTCATTATTGGAGTCACTTAAATGCTACACTCAAGCATTTGGCTCAGAGCAACTGAAGAACAGGAAACACACTTCTCTCCCGGTAGCCTGCTGTCACCCCCCTGCTTTGTCTGCCATCCTGCCACCATGTCCCTGTCTACTCAGCCTTCTCAGCGCTGAGGCAGGCGTGAGGGCCCCAGACTCCCTCCGTCCCTCCCAACCTTGAGCCAATGGCTCCCCAGGGCACCGCCGTGCCCTTCCCAGCTCTGGCCAGGAGCAGGCAGAGCCGCGGGAACGCACGAGTGTGCACTCGTTACATTTTACGGCCAGATGCCATGAATCATTGTGTGCATCGTTATTTCTGAAAATGGTAGGAAAACCTGCTGTGGGTTCCTGAAGTTGTCAAATATGTGCGCCATGTGGCGGGGCCGGGACTCAGCCCCGTGCTGGGGTAGGTCTGCTGGTTGTGTTGGATGCAGGCTTTGCGATGCTCTTTTTCGTGATTGCAAAAGGAAGCCACACCTCTGAAAGGCCTGTGGTTTTTTAAAAAACTTTTGAATGCATGGCATCTTTTAAAAAAAGATTGACACTTTCACTTAGAATTCATTCACTGAGAAGTGGAATTTGTGTGCATCTGTTATGAATCACCTCCCAAAGCCAGGTTCATGTGCCCGATGGGCTAGTCAGCCAACCCTGAGACGCCGTGCCTGGGGGTGAAGGGTTTATTCCATGTGGCCAAAGGGAGGGGACGGGGAGTGAGTCTCTCAAGTCCGTCTTCCACCAGAAGCAGAAGTCGGCAGCTAGTGAGTAAGGGTGGGGTGGGGTTCAGGGACCAGAGGGGCAAGTCTGTGTTTCTTCAGGCACAGATAACGTTTCGTGCTGCCAGACTCGTGGGCATCCGGAGCTGGTCGCAACTTTCTTATTCCTTCTGTGAAACAAATTCATAAACTCTCCTTGTGACCCTGGAATTATCTCTTCCTGCATGACAAAGAGACAGGCCATCAAGCATCACAGAATTATTCTGCGAGAATAAGGGGTGCTGGCTGGAAGAACTAAGATTCTGCAGAGAATTTCTAATCGTGTGTCAGTAACCTTATCATTAAAACAAAAAGCAGAAACGTTTTGAGACCAGCGCCGCTGTTTAAGCTATCATTGTTTGCACTTAAGTAGCTGTATTTTTCTATTCTCTCAAGCAAAGTGTACTTTTAAACATTCCCCTGGAACTTGCTCTACAGGCAGGCCTTTAGAACACAACTAACATACTTTCTTAATCTTTGACCATAAGCTACGTGACAACCAAAGCTGCTAAAACGTTTCATTAAAGCTTGTACCTACGTCTCCGGACTCGAGGCTCTGACACCGAACATGGTTGCTGTTGGCTGTCGGTTTCACGTCCTCACAATACACAGTAATTAGCTGTGTGCCTGTCTTCCTGCAGCCCCTGTACCCACCCTGACCCAAACCTCACCCAAGGAAATGTCAACGAGTGCTACCAACCCAGCTTTAATGAGAATTAAATTTTGTATTAAAACAAAACGAGACAAAAACACCTTTCCCCCTGACTACAGTGTTAGTGCGTGTGTGTGTCGGACACTCAGCGGGATTAGGTTGGTCAGAGAGTCACCTTCGCCCCCGTGCTGGGCGCTGAGCTGCCCTGTGTGTCTGCTGCCCGCTTTCCTGGGTCTCGGGAGGTGGAGTTCACTCTCTGTACCCTGAACATTGATCCCTGTTACTGGATTCTGCTGCATTAAAGACTGAATCTGAAAATAAGCGATAAGATGCCAGAAGCGACCTGGAGGGAGGTGTATGGGATGTGTGACCACAGAGCCAGGAAGGACTGAGCACAGGAAACCCCTAGAGAAAAGCCTGCTTGCCAGAGACAGGCCTCATGGTGTCGTCAGAGGGACCCCGGTAAGGAGAGCCTGTGGTCATTGAGCCTCCAGGAGGGGGTTCAGCAGCCCTGCCTCTGTCCCGAGGGCTTAGCACGCAGCCGCACAGCTTCAGGCCTCAGCCGGCGGGTTTGTCCCTCGCTCCCTTCGTGTGCCCCCGTGCGCGCCCAGCAGCCCGGTCACTCAGCCTTCATGGTCTCCCCGCAGGTCGCTGCCATCAACCCGAACCACCCGCTGGCGCAGATGCCTCTGCCGCCATCCATGAAGAACTGCATCCAGCTGGCGGCCTGCGAGGCCAACGAGCTGCTGCCCATGATCCCCGACCTCCCGGCCGACCTGTTCACGTCGTGCCTCACCACCCCCATCAAGATCGCCCTGCGCTGGTAAGTGGCACCATGGCCCGGGAGCTCCCGAATTCCACGGATCTGAGGAAGCTGCCTGGGGTTTATGGACGTGAACTCGGGGCCCTGGGTGGAGGCAGAGCTGCCCTGGGGGCTGTGGGTGGCTCCTCCTTCCCGGATGGGTGGCGCGTGCGGCCTGCTGCTCGTGTTCATCGTGGGGTGTCATGGATGGTAGCGTGGGGTCAGAAACGGTGTGCGGTGCCATTGAACGTGACCCAGGAAGATCTTCGGTCCTGATGATTCAGGAATTTATGTATTTTATTCAGCGTCTAAGAAATAATTTACTAACTACCAACTGTGGACCTAGAGCCCTGCAGCCGACTCTGGGTGGTGTGGCCTTCCAGAAGGTACAGTCTAGCTGAGGACATGAGGTGTGGCCCGAGGGTTCGTTATATGAATGGGTGCTTTGTGCCCGGCGGAGATGTCCCCGAGGGCCGAGGTGGGCAGAGAGCTTCTTGGCGATGGCGGGGACGAGGCAGGACCCATCAGAGATGGGCGCACGGCCCGAGCCATTGGGATGAGCCTGGTGCTTCTGAGAAGAGCGAGTCGATCGGCCTAGAGAGGAAGGTGTGGAAAGGGGTGTAGGGAGGTCAAGGGGTGGACCCAGGTCAGATTGCGGGTGGCCTGGAACGTGGGCCAGTGACCTTGACCTCTGCTAGGCCTGGCCGGGGAGAGCCCCTGAAGGTGTTATGTGGGGAAATGACCTAAGATTGGTGTTTCAGGAGGAGAATCTGCTCAGTGATAGGGAGGCCGTGGTCCTAATCGGGCCGTTGTCCCAGCAGTGCCATCAGACTAGAGCGGGAAGGTGGGGATGGCCACGGGCCAGGCAGGAGCCCCGCCGGCGTACCTGCACCTCGGACCCTCCTGTGGGACAGGCCCCGTTTCCTCTCCTGCCCGCCTCCCCGCCCCGATTTCCTGCCCCCGCCGCCTCTGCGCACTGACTCGGGAACTGACACGGAGCCTCATAAGGGCGCTTGCTGACCACACTGCGCTCGGTACGTTAAGCATAGTCACTTGCGGGAGCACAGCACGTGCTTTGTACGTGAAAACAGCCTTGCTTCCTGGACACAGAATGTGTGTTTGACGGCACGTGTATTTACGACTCTTAGGGGCTGCTGACGTAGCTCCTGGAAAACTGTTTTCTGATTTCTCTTTTTATTTTTGCCTCAATCTTTGCAGTTTTCAGAAACTGATAATTTCAGTCATTCTGAAATGAGCAATTACACTCCTCTCCATGTAAGCGACCGCCTTAATCACCATAAATATAAACACAGCATGAGAACCCAAACGGTGCTTTTCCTTTGCTTTTTCTTCTTCTTTGATGGAGTGGACGAACACCACTTTAAATTTGTGATGGGCATATTGTGTGCGACTGACACTGCTCAGTCAGTGGTACTTAATTGCTGTGGGACTTGCTGTAAGATGGATTGACGGGCTTGCTCGTGCAGCCATACCGTCCACTAATGAAAACGATAGATGCCATTTTGGAGTGATAAAGGTCAGGAAACTTATTTCCATCTGTCCCCTTCAATTGAGGCATTTCCGGGAGTTTACATGTTAATGACATAACGTTGACGCCTACTTGTCAGCATGGGAGGCTGTGCCCTCGGAGCTGCCCGGTGAGGGGTGGCAGGTGCAGACGCTGTACCTTGGGAAACGCAAATTCTCACTGTCTTTTTATGGTGGGATTAACCATTTGTCCTCTGTAGGGTTTTCTAAAATACAACTTCTTTGCTAGAGAACAAACTTGCTGCCTCTCCATTCAGTGCTCTATGCGTTGTGAACTTTTCCTGCTTCTTTAAAAAAACTGAATAAAATGACTCTGCCTTACTTCTTATGTTTGAAGGCAGAGAAGGTCAGGGGCCCTCGCAGAGAACGAAGTGATCTAGACACGTCAGAGAATGACAAGGGCCCAGCAGTTCACTGTGCGGTGGTGTCCCACCGTGCCTGAGGCCTCGGAGTGGGTAATTTAACTTGGAACTTACTCAAATGGTTTTGTCCTCTGGAAGTCTTCCCAGGATGGCCCTATCCCTGGCCCGGTTCTTCTGCACGAGCCTAAGGCGGCGAGGGCGATTTCCGGTCAGCCAGGTTATATAATTTGTCATGTGCCCACCTTGAGGGAAATAGTTTTCCTCCCCACGCTAGACGATGTACTCACACTGTTCCAGTCTCTTGACGTATACTCAATTAAGATGAATGTCATAATGTGTTGTAACAGAGCGCTTTTAAAACAAGTTGACATGCAAAACCCTGATTTATGCTGCTAAGGAAGAGAATTGAACCAGACGGAATGGCACGGGCTGCTGACTTCCCCTGGACCCAGTCCCCGGGGCCCCAGGAGAGAGTAAGATCGATGGGCCCTCCAGCGAGCCCACTCAGCAGTGAAGTCAGAGACAGCGTGGAGCCCTTGGGAGGACTGAGGCTGGGGGTGGGGAGTGGGGGGTGGAGGAGACGGTGGAGCAGGTGAGGACCAGGGGGTGCGGGCAAGGGCCGGCGAGGGGGCCCTTCTGGTTGTGCCCAAGATGGGTACAGCTTGCCCTGTTGGTCTGGGCTCAGAAGGAAGGAAGGAAGGAGAGAAGGGGTGCCATCACAGCACCGGGCAGAAGGAGAGTTTTGAGCGAGGATGACAAGCACGCTCAGTGACAAAGGAGATGTTAGAAACAGGAAAAGGAAACAGGAGGTCGGGAGAAGAACCGGCTGATGATAGGGAGCGTGAAAACTGGACCTGATGGAAGAAGGGGTTTCGGAGACGGATTGAAAAGCCGCGTGCCCTGGGTAAGCCAGAGGACAAGCCGGAGAGCTGAGAGCTGCATCTAGGAATTCCCACCGAAGCTATGGAGACAGCAAAAGTGAGAGCCCAGAAAGATAGAGTTAAATTTGAATACCTAACATATCTAAGGTATCAATCATGAAAAATAAGTATGTGAGGGATAACCACCAAAAGAATGAAAACTGAATGTGTTTTTTTCACACAAGGGGAAAAATTCCTTCTCTCCAAAAGAAGGGGGTGTGGGGAGCAAGTGTGGAAAATAGAAAATGTGAAGCACGATGGCTGAAATCAGTTTTGAAATTAAAGTGATTATCTGACTGTAAATGAGTGAACTCATCTTTCAAAGGACAGTGGTTCTCATGCTGCATAAAAATCATCATGAGCAGCACCCTCTCTCATCCACACGACACGTATTTTAAACAAAATATTTGAAAGGTTGAAAATCAAAGGATGAAAGAGGAGAAATGTGAACCAAAAGAAAGCCAGAGTGAGAATTTTAATGAGTCCAAGCAGAATCTGAGATAAAAAATATTGAAAAGGACAAAGAAAAATGTTTTATCATAGTAAAAAGAGCAGATCAAGAAGATATACTGAGCATGACTCTATATGCGTCTAACAATATGGCCTTGAAATATGTAAGCTGAGAACCGAAAGAACTAGGGATGGAAGTAGATAAATCAGGAATGTAGATACTGAGGTACTAAGTTAATAAAATGTAGCAAAACTAAGAAGATTTCAATAACAATTCGTTAGCTAGATCTAAGGGAGGAACACAGGAAACGCATTATTTTTGAGCTTACGTAGATCATTCACAGAAATGAACTGCACACGAGGCTGCAGAGGAAGCTTTAATGATCTCAGAGCCCTTACAACAAGCCGGAGGACGTGGACCCCCGTGGCCCGACTTTCAGGATGAGGTGGAGGCTGTGTGGGTGTAACCAGGCGAGTCGGGATCAGGCCAGCGCCCTGACCCAGAGCTGACACTCAGAACTGCTGCCGTGTGCTGCCTGTGCGTGTGCCGACTGGCTTCTCTCGTTTGCTGTGGTTTTCTCCCTGGTGCTCTTCATCCTTGTCTTACCCTTTTGCTGTCACTTTGGTGGAGTTTTGGAGGAAGCTGAGATCCGTGTGACTGTTGAATCCTCCGTGTGTAAGCGGAGGTCATGGGGACCTGCTGAACTTGGTAAAGGCTGCACCATACTCTTGAGCGAGCATGCTCAGTGGGGAAACTCAAGACGCCTTCTGTTGGAGGCTGGGAATAAGGCCAGGATTCTCTCTGGCACGGCTGCAGCGTTAGACATCGTGGCCGTCAGGAAGGCGAGATAAGTGAATAAATAGTAGAAGAAACATAAAAATTTATAATGACCTGTGTCCAGCGTGGATCGCCTATCACATTTCATCAATTCTGGATGCTTATTTTCACATTTGAACACCTGAGACCTAGTGCCATGCTACAATAGATAACATGCCTGTTTAATTGGCAGCGTTTTTCTTTCTTAGTGGTACTTGGAAGTGCCTGCCGAAGCCCACTGAGAGATGTGCACTATAGCTCAGTGAGATGACTGAATGTTTATCTCTAGGGAGCCACGGGTGAACGGTCATGTAGGCAACAAGTTATAGATTATAGTTAGAAAAGTCTAAAACTTAAGGTCTTTCTCTGTAAGACAAGAAAAAGAGAAGCACATTTAGCTCTAAGGAGAAGAAAGGACATTATAGAGAACAAAAATAAACAAAATAGAAAAAGCATCGGGAGACTGGGGCCCAGGCGCAGACCTAACGTCTCCGCTCCTGTTCGGTGTTGTCCGAAGGCACAGCCAGTGCAGGAAAGCCAGGAAAAGCAGAACGGCGGAGGCCAGCCATCACAGATGACGTGGTGCGGACAGTCACGAGAAGCTACAGCAGGTCGCTGGAACCACTGACGCGTTTTAGCAGGGTCCCGGGATAGAAGGCCAAGACCCTAAAGCAGCCGCATTTCTATGTAGTAATAACAGTGGAAATTAAAAATCTAAAAACAAACTATTTGCTGTGGTGTCAAGATTCTGAACTTCTCGGGGATGAGTGTAGCAAAATGTATGCGAGACCCGTGCGCACAGCACTGCAGAACATTGCAGAGACAAATGAGGGGCCCGCGCATACTGTGCTCATGGGGGAAAAGACTCAATGTTTTAGAATTCTACCCAATTCTACCCAAGTTGATCTATAGATGTAGTGCAAT